TGGGAACTGGAGGGACCTAGAATGCCCTGTCTTAGAGCCCCGTGTTTCTACTTGTTTATTTTGGTACTCCAGTGTGTTGAGGAGAGAGTTGTCTGGGTTTCCTACTTCTCCTCTGATATTAGAAGGCAGAGTACTTGTGTTTCTTGGAGTTCACAAGGTGCGTCAGGGAAGGAAATCAAGGAGGACAACTCTGGTGCCACTGGAGATCTTCAGGCAAATGGTATAGAGACCAGCTCACAGGTCAGGGAGCTGGGAGGGAGTGGAGAGGAGAAGATTGTGGCTCAATCACTTTAACTCTTTGATGGCATAAACAGGAATCAGGAGGGTTTTTCAGAGGTTTCTCTTGTTGTCTTGGATATAACAAATCAGTCACTTTACATTTAGTTGGCTTTCATCTATAAAATGGTTGTATCATCCGAATATGCAGTGATAACAAATAACCCCAGATTTTCAGTGGCTTAAGATACAAAAGGTGTATTTCTTTCTTTCTTTTTTTTTTTTTAACTTCTTAATGTTTTTTATTTATTTCTGAGAGAGAGAGACAGACAGACAGACAGCATGAGCAGGGGAGGGTCAGAGAGAGAGGAACATACAGAATCTGAAACAGGCTCCAGGCTCTGAGCTGGCTGTCAGCACAGAGCCCGACATGGGGCTGGAACCCACGAACTGTGAGATCATGACCTGAGCCAAAGTTGGACGCTTAACCAACTGAGCCACCCAGGCGCCCCACAAAAGTGTGTTTCTTGTTTCATGGTAGGAGCTTGGTAGTGCTGGCAGGAAACTCTGTGCGGCATTATCCTCAGCCAGCCTCCTAAACTGGTGGGCTTCCTCTGTCTGGAACATGGCCAGCAGCCATGTTCCGGGGAAAGGAATGTAGCAAATTCTGAAGGAGCTCTTAAAGGCTTCCGGGCGCAAATGATACCAATTCACTGAGATCTCATTGGCTGAAACAAGCCATGTGGCCATATGTAGCTTCGAGGGGAAGGGAGCATATAATCCCACCTGTGCATGGATGGTGGCGAACCAGAGTCTTGGTGAGCACCCCTACTGGCTACCACAGGGGCACTAATGCTGAAAGGATGCTCATCCCACATGGTGGCCCCAGCAGAGCCGCATAAATGTAAGAAAATCCTGGAGAGAAATGAACAGCATTTGGAAAAGGGTTTTATTCACGGATTGTGGAGAAAATGAACATCTATCATTTTTTAATGTGTAAAGTACTTAAACTTTCAAGTTAAAAATTTAAAAAAATTGTAATCATAGAGGTAATACTTCTTTTTCCTGATTCATTGTTGTTGTATTGCCTTCTCAACTGAGACTCTACTGGGCTACCTGCCCTCGGGTGACTCCCCTCTGGGGGTGCAGTATCCAGCTTGACCTCACGTGTGCCCCTGTGAAACCGAATGCCTGAAATCACACACAACCCCACCATCACCCCACAACCCCACCACCACCCCACACCCCCGCCGAGGCTAAAAGAAATGCTCTCCCAGGTCATGACAGCTGAGGGCAGTGAGAGGCATGGGTCAGTAACAATACTGGAACAGTAACGGTACTGAAGTGTGATAATAAAATCGGGCCTGACTTGAACAATCCGGGCTTGCCAGATGCTTACCAGGGCCGGAAGGTGCTGATCGTGCACAGAATGGCTGCTTCTCCTCTTCCCTGGACTAAAGTGTCCCTTGCTGGGGTTGGTCTTGTGCAGCTTCCCAAGAACTGTTTAACAAGGGAGTTTTGTTGGGTTCTTTTGGCTCCTGCAGGTCATGACTTGTTTTCTCCTGCCCTATTGCTCTCATGGGAGTTGCTCCGCTTTGCCCCACAGTTTGGAAAAGCTCGAGGGATTTTCACTAAGCTTGGAGATGAGAGCGTCTCAGCAAATCTTTGTCTGGTTCCAATGAGTGTGGGCAGAAGAATGGGTGAAGTGTGTTTAATGTGACACCTCAAGGATATGTTGAGACGTACAGATGGGCCTTGGGCCATGTCTTCTCCAGCCATTCACTCACCTTGACTCTAGGAGTTAGGATTATGATTTTCCAGTGTTCTCTTGTCACTGTGTAAAGAATCCCCAAGGTACCTTTCCACCATCTCTCCTCCCCCCAACCCCTGCTTCTGTCCATGTTTCTTCTCCAGCACAGAATTCCATCTGGAAGCTGTTCCCTTCAAAAGGTGTGTCACAGTGACCCCCACTATGGCACCCAGCACGCCATCTTAAATGTTAGGGGAAATCAAGATATATATATATATATATATATATATATATATATATATATATTTGTAGAAGAAGAATTAAATTATAGATGCTTTCCAGTATTTAAAGAAACCATACTTTTGGAAAAAATATAGGAATGTAAACCAGATATCTTTGCCTTCAGCTAGGAATTTTTTTTCTCCAATATATTCTTGTTGCTACTCCTAAATGAACCCCTAAGTTCCAAGTACACATTATGAGTCTTTTGTCTCCTTTTAGCTACAAGTGCCGTTCTGTCTGAATCATCAGGCTTCCTGTTGTCTCTTGTTCGTACTCATGCCCTCTAGGCAGACTTCCCAGTTAGAGGCAGGAGCAAAGATGGTGTAGTCCCAGATAGCGTGCTCTCATTATCTGGGCATCGGCCATCTGCTCTTTGGGCAACCTGGGCAGCCGCCCGGATCTTACCTGTTAGGCAGCTCACAACAGTCACCAGGGATGCCCAGAGCTGTCTTGGTGGTTATTAGTTGATCGTGTGCCTTTTCTTCTATGAGTATTTGCACACTTTCATCTTTAAGTGAATTTTGCAGTTTCTGGTCTGCCGTGGTGATGGTAGTGGGCTCTTGACCTCTGAAGACTGTGAAGGAGGAACAGTAAAGGAGGAATTGATGTAGTGAGAGCTGTTGAGTTTGTGAGGGGAAGCCTTTCACAGTGATGTGTAGCCCTACAGAGATGCATATGGAAAAGCAAAGAGGAGGAGCCAGCACGATGGCTGGAAGAGTCCTGGTGGAAATGAAATCTAGGTCAAACTGGGCATGATCTTGTAATTCTTTAAAGATCTAGAACTGGTAAAAAAAAAAAAAAAAAAAAAAAAAAGAGATCTAGAACTGGTGACCTTCATGAGAGTGCCAGCTACACTGACATATGTACGTACCACACACACACACACACACACACACACACACACAATTTGAAGGTGGGAATAAAGACTGATAACAAAAGCTCACAGATATTTTGTGGGGATGGGGAGAAACAGCATTCATATGTTCCAGAGAAATATGAACCTTTTTCATTTATTGACACATACTGTCTTGGACACACTGTCATTTTGTGGATTTCTGTTGTCCCTTGTAAAACACAATGGATCATGGATGAAAAGGCATAACTTCATGGAAAGAGTATTTGAGGCCTGTTTCAATTTTGTTCTGTTTAGGAAAACTTCCCTGTAAATGGGACTTTGACTCACCCTTCATTATTGCCTCTGCTTCTACTTATTTCTTGAGCGTTAGACCTTGAGTGGACATTATTTGATGTTGCAGGTTGTCCTTAAGAACAGACACATCATTATTTCTCTGAAAGCAGCTATCTCGCAAAAGATCTGTGATGCAGCTTCCACAACCTTGTTGCCTCCAGCCTTGCTCCTGGAGCTCTGAGCAGCACCCAGGAAGTTACCGCATTGATACTGATCAAGTCGTAGATGTGGTCTCTGCCATGATATATACCACCATATTTATTAGATTTCTTTGCTGCATACTTCTGTTTCAGTATTGAGTTGGGCCTAGTGTACTGTTCTGCATATCTTTGAAGGCTTTTGTCCCTGCCCAGTAGCTTCTGGGTTACACCATGGGAAACCACAGATTTAGGGAGGGGGAGAACAGTTAGACGTGGTAGGTGAGAAGTCTTACCCTTTTCCGTCTGCCACTAGCCCTGAAGGTGCAAAGCTGGCAAGTACATATGGCTCTTGGCATTAGGAAAACCTTGCTGAAATGAAATTAAAATTCCTCTGCTGGACAGGAAATTAATCAGGGCTGAACGCAGTAGACAGGGACAGAAGCTAGATTCCTCATTCCATCACTGATGAGTGTTTTATTGTTATGCAAATGAATCCAACTCACAGAGACTAGTGGGGCATTGAGGAGAGGGCAGAGAAGTGAAAGCGATGAACAGGTTCCTTAGGATCTAAACTCTAGCTACAAAAATGTTTTTATAGCATCTGCTGCCTCTTACACCATCAAATGCTGAACAAGGGAAGTGCGTCAGCTTCTTCTGTCATTGTTTCAGCAAAGCAGTCTTCTTGACAGTGTGATATATTGCGATTTATTCATTCCATAATGCTACTAGATCACCCACAGTGAAGCAAACCACATGCCAGGTGTTAGGGCTAAATTATGGAAACACCTAGTCCTTGCCTTGCCAACGTTCATAGTCTGGTAGGAAAACATTAAGTCTGCAGATAAACAGTCAGATAAGAAATATTGTTATACTAGCTAGGACTATTTGGTTGAAAAGTGGCTGAAACATACCGCAGCAAACATTAGCTAAAAGGGTACATGGAAACTCAAGAACCATAAAGGCATGTGGGAGGGAAGGAAGCTCAGAGATGTAGGTCTCAGGAACTAAGGGACAGTCTTTTCAGGACCCTCAGTCAAATGAATCAACTCCACACAATCCTAAGTCCATTCACTGAAGATTCACATTCCCAAAAGAAGGTATCCGATGGATTCAGCTCAGGCCACTTGCCCACTTCTTGGGCGGGGGGGAGGGGGGAGCAGAAGACTTGGATAATGCCACAAAGATTGTGAGCAATGGTAGAGGAACTTCTCCTAAAGACAGATGAATGCTACAAAGGCAAAGGACATGATAAAAGTTAGCTGCTATTGTGGCTTCTGGGATTCCCAGCCAATCAGAGGGCATATGTTTATTTGGAGCATGCTCCATGTTGAGGTTGTGGTGGCTTGGGACCATAAAACTTACAATCACTCACCCATAGGTGCGTCAACTCACTGGCACTTCTGTCTTATTCTCTTGATCTCAGTGTGAGCAGTCCCACCTCATGAGAGAACATGAGGATGTCCAGGAGCGAACAACGCTTCGGTATGAGGAACGCATCACGGAACTCCACAGCATCATTGCTGAGCTCAATAAGAAGATAGACCGTTTGCAAGGCACCACCATCAGGTAGTGGGCTCCCAGTGCAGCTTTCTCTCTGCCTCTCTGGGCTCCAACCCGGCTCCTGGAGTTGAAATCATCCTGATGAACTATAATGATATTTTATTTGCAACCAAGATTTTTACAGTTGATAACTACTTTCTCTTTAACGTTGATAATTGTACACTTTTCCCTCCACTATTCTGTTCTCCTCTTGATTGTCAGGATAACCCTGGAAGGTAGCCAGGGTGGGAGTTGTAATCCTCAGTTTACTGATAAGAGTGTGTAGCTAGAAGTTGGTGAAGTGCTTTATTGCCCAGTTGTGAATGGGGCCTCTGTCTCCCTACCAACATCCTTACCACCTCTTGAATCTACCAGGTCTGCTCTAGGTTTGCAAACTGTGTGCCTCCCTTGGGGATTTTGAGAGCTCTGTGCATGTGGCTTATAACCAAATAGTACATATGCTTCTAGATAATCTAATATTTTGAGTTCACCTGAAGTTTATCGACCAAGATTGATGTGGCCTTATAAAAACCCCTAAGGTGAGGCCAAGATTTGATACATCATTTTGCCTAGCAAAAAGGCTAGGGCTTAAAAATATTAAGTAGTGATTTTGAAGTTACATTTAGCAGAGGGTAGAGGCAGAGTTAGAACCCCCAGTCTCTCTGCTTTTACTTAATAGTCTTTCTATGAAAGTGACTTTGGATGGCCCTGCCTTCCTTATCAATCAGTTTACCCCAAAGTCTCCTGCCCACAGCACTTAATTGGTATGTCTGCCCTGCTTTTCAGAGGAGGGGTTTGCTTTGAGGGACTGAGCCAAGGATGAGAACTTTTTATCATCCTGCCTGTGCTCAGGGAATAGCCCTGAGGAAAGCAAATGGTTGGCACCTACCTTTCTGGAGAAAGAGCACTTTGTTCACTGAATGTTTGTACAAGCTGCAATTAGGGCCCTTTTAGAGGCAACTATTTTCGACTGTCCCTCTAGGAGTCCTGGGTTAGAAGACACTTTGGGTGCATTTTATTCCAACTCTGAGAGTAGCCCTCCAAAGGCTACTTGGTGAGGGTACTAACAGGCCTCTGTTTTCTTTATTTATTTTTTAATGTTTGTTTATTTTTGAGAGAGAGAGAGCACCTGAGCAAGGGAGGGGCAGAGATAGAGGGAAGCACAGAACCTGAAGCAGGCTCCAGGCTTGAGCTGTCATCACAGAGCCCAACGCGGGGCTCGAACTCACAAACTGTGAGTTCATGACCTGAGCCGAAGTCGGACACTTAACCGACTGAGCCATCCAGGCGCCCCAGGCCTCTGTTTTCTGAGCAAAAGCATGGTGAACTTGGCACTGAACTGGAGCCACACAATAAATTCCAATGTAGAACCTCAAGTCTTCTAAATTGTATCCTGGTCTTCAGAGTGATTGTAGGTTCGAAACGCATGAGCAGAGAAGAATTTTCAGACTAAAGAAATGATTAGAGCAGACTTAAAGGAGGCTGGCAGAGTACATTGGTAAATTTGTAATTTCCATTAAAACGTATTGCACTTGGGAAGGTGAGGGCAAATGGGCTCAGTGAGTTGTGAAAAAAAGCATCACACATCACCTGGAAAACTCCATTTCAGAATGTTTAAATTGAATATAATGGCCAAATGGCTTCATGTTAAAATACATTGAGCCTCTTGACCATAAACGTTTATTGGTGCCTTTTATTTAAAGGGAGATTGCATCTGTGCAGCTGTCACATTTAATTCTGCCAGTTTTCATTATGTAAATGAGCCATCCCTCCTTGCGGGGGACTCCCTGCAAGACCTGCAGACCGTGGGCCAGGAAGTCAAGGCTCTTCCTGTCCTCTCACCTCCGTGGCTAAGACATGTCTCCTGCCCCCAGCACTACCAGAAATTGGTTTGCCCTTAGGTGCTGAGATGCTGTGCTAGACCAAGTTGGGCGGGGGTGGGGGTGGTAAGGAGGCACACGCCTCGGAGGACCTCCAGCTGCCCTAGCATATCCTGGGTCTAGAGAATTGATTGTCATACTAGTCAGGTACAATGCTAGTACCTTACAGACTTTCTTGTCACTTTAGTTGGGCCCAAATTAGAAATTTATTGGAAATGCTGTGAAATAATACGGGAATAGTTTAGGTAAGCTATGATATATCCGTACATAAACAATACTGAATTGTTTATGTAAGAAAAATGATAATCTCCTAGTTTTAAACTTTTATCTCAGGTCACAGTCAGAACTGGGACCTTCTGTGACCACCGCACAAGAGACTCTCCCATCTCCTATAGCCACAGAGCTAATGTAGCCAAGAATCAGATACTGCGGGTGGCTGAATTCCAGTGTGAGTTGAATTTATGGCCACATCAGATCTTTTAGGTAAAGATTAACTATTGACAGGAAAAGATGAAATGGTGAGAATTTGAATGGAGACATTTGGGTAGATTTCAATGAATCCATTCCTAGAGCCTACAAACTCCACTGAGTTTCCCTTTCTGTAGAAGCACTTCCCTTGCTTGTCTGATAAAGCTTGTCTGCTTTGCTTAGAGACTGTATAGCAATCTGATCCCAGGTAGAAGGTGCCAGGTATACAGACTGAGGTCCCCCAGGAATAAAGATTTCTAATTATTTCTCTCGGTAAAGAACTCTAATCAACTAAGACGCTGGCCAAACACAAAGGAAATAGGGATTTCCTAGTAGAAGAAGGAAGTTAGAAACATCAATTATAGCCTCATGGCCAGTTACAGAAAAGATGCAAGGCTGTGCATATTTTCTTGCTTGTTTATGCATGTATTCAATTTCCTTTTTTTACCTTCTTATTCTCTCCTATTATATCAGGTGAGCTCGTATTGGTGAAACTTGTCTGATGGTTAGGTTAGATGGTATCTAGGTGGATTTGCCCCTGAACTGGAAGAGATGTGGTTACCTGACAATGGACACAATAACTGATGGGACTTTGGGTCTCCCATTTTGGTGAGAAGATGACTTCATTTACCTTTGAATGAGGGATAGTTAGAGAAAATTGGGGTTGTCGCTGTTGCAATTGGAAATGTCAGTGTGGAATTATCAACCATTTGTGTGGTCATCATGTAGCCAGAATGTGGCCTGTGACCTGTTATCTAGCACCTGGTACCTTCCCGATCCCTTCTCTTTACTCTCCCGGGAATCAAAGAGGCTGGATCCTCAGGACCACTTCCCAAATTGCCGTAATAGCTGTGATCTGGATACAGTTTGGGTTCTGCCAATAAGTGCCTTCGCATGGGTTTAGAAAGCAGAAGGGAGGTGGGAGCCATTGCTCCTTAGGCCATGATGGCAGCAGCTAACATACAGGCATAGGTGGGCATGAAGTCCTGCACCAACTGGCCAGAGCCTGGAGCTGGGGGCAGGTGTGAAGGCAGCAGCAGTTACCCGACCTTTGGGGGGTTCCCCAACTGTGATGGCAAATGTGACAACTCCTGGTGGCCTCCACCCACACTTTTCTGTCCTCCCAACCATTATGCAAGCATGGAACTGTCTAAATTAAATCTCTTCTACTTGAAACATTCAGTGTAGTTTATGTTCCTAACTGAACCCTGCCTAATGCATCCTAAATCCCATCTCCTAGGAATAAAGAGTGAACATTTTGTATATATGGCCTTCTAAAAAATTTTATTCATGAATATTTTAAATAAATTGGATCATATAGCACACAATGTTTTGTAATCTATGCTTTTTCACTTAACTGTATGTTATGAATGGCTTTTTTTTAATGCTCATCTGACTTGGAGAGGTTATATAATGGGATGGGGAAAATGGAAAACTATATCAGTAGCTTACTTTGGAATGGGGGGGGGGATTCTAAGCAAATTAAACATGAACTCTTATGTTTCCCAAGGAGATCATTTTCTTTGCCCAAAAGCTGCTCTCATAACATCACCCTTTCACTGCCGCCTCTCATGAGTAGTCATGTTTTCCCCTTCATTTCCCATTGCTTGTTAGCCCGCTGCCGTCTGGCTTCTGAGTGCCATAGTTTGCTGAAGTTCCTTTTGCTGGGGACTGAGTTACGTCTCTCAATTCAAAATTCATATGTTGAAGCCCTGCCCCTCAATGTGATAGGATTTGGAGTTGGGGCCTTTGGGAGATACTTCTGTTTTGTTGAGGTCATGAGGATGGGGACTGCATGGTGGGTGTAGTGAGCACCCTTCTAAGAAGAGACACCAGACGGCTTGCTCCCAGATACACTCTCTCCCTGCCGTGTAAGGACACAGTGACGAGGCAGCCATCTGTAAGCCGGGAAGAAAGCCCTTACCAGAAACTAGCCGTGTGGGCACCTTGATTTTGGATTTCTAACCAAAGTCTAGAACTAAGGGAAAATCAGGTCCTATTGTTTAAGCTGGTCAGTCTACAGTATTTTGTACAGTAGCCTAAGCTAAGATACTTCTTTGAAAATTACCAGTGACTTCTGAACTGAAAAATCCAGTGACCTTTTCTTGTTTCTGGTCTTTTTCTACAACATGTGCCCCTAAATCCTCCCTCCTTCCTGGGGTGTTCTTCTTGAACTTCTCGAACCCTAGATTTTTTCTTTCGTCTCTAAGATTGACCCTCATCCTTGGCTCTTACCCTGGGTGCGCTCTCCCCAGGTTTCACCTTGAAGGGCTGCCTCAGCCTAAAACGCTGACTCCACCTCTCTGTTTACCTCCCTCCCACTTCATCCTTCTGCTTCTTTGTCTGCAAAATGCTCTCGTTTGTCAGTAAAGATAATATCTAAAGTCTCCATCTACTCTAACGTAATCTAGCCTCTAAAATCTCATGCCTGCTCCATGAGCCTGACCTTTCCATTTGCCCAATTATTCACCAAAAGATTCATAGAGGAGTCTGATCTTGCTTTGTGCTAGATGGAAAAATTGGGAAGCGATGGAATTTCAGGAAGAATCAGGGCTTATCACTGATTTCCTGCTTTAGATCCTCTAAGAGAGCTGAAAGGAATACATCTCCTCTTTGTATCTAAAAAATCTTTGTTCTTTAAAAGATTGATGGCATTTCAAGGCAAGTCTGCCTTTGCTTGTAAGAAAGAATGTAGTTCAACAAACACCCCTCCTCACCCCTCACCAGATCAGATAGGCTGGGTTAGCTGGACATAGTTGACTGACAGGTGTCAAGGCAGGCAGATGTCCACTAGGTCTTGTTTACAAATCAGTCCAGTGACAGGGCATGAATGTGCATGCCAACATAAAATAGACATGGGGATTGCTAATGAAGTAATACTTATATCAAATACTACTGACTCCATGGTACTTCACCTTAAGGTCTGGAAAGCAGGATAAGAATTACACTTTCATTGACTGTGCCCTTTTCTGAAAAGGGATCATTTCACCCCTAGCCAATAATGAGAAGGATTCTTTAAAAATCATCGTCAACAACAACAGAATCTTTTCCTGAGGTCACTATATTTGATTGTTGTTTCCCTGGCCCTAAATTTAGGAATGAGGTTGTACTGATCACTAGTTGCAGAATCTTGGGTAAATTACTTAGCCTCTTGAAGCTTCAACTGCCGTATTTATAAAATAAAGGTATTAATCCTGGCTTTGAAGAGCCCAAAGATCTCTGCCAGTCTGGGACTTTTCTGCCACTGCTAGTTACACAGGTGATGGGGACAATCTGATGCCTGCCTACTTGAGAGCATTTTTCTTTTCTTTTGTCATCTAAACTAGTAGCAAGCACTAATCATTGCTACTCTAGGAGCAACTTGGAAGCACTTCACAAATGCTTCTAAGTGAATGAAACGAGGTACATTTAGAATCCTGTGAGATGATTCTTTTTATTTAAAATTTTTTTTAATGTTTTATTTATTTTTGAGAGAGAGAAAGAGAGACAGAGAGACAAAGAGAGACAAAGCATGAGTAGGGTAGGGGCAGAGAGAGAGAGGGAAACACAGAATCTGAAGCAGGCTCCAGAGCACAGAACCCGAGGCGGGGCTCAAACCCATGAACTGTGAGATCATAACGTGAGCCGAAGTCGGATGCTAAACCGACTGAGCCACCCAGGCGCCTCTGTGAGAGGATTCTTGATGTTCCAAATAGAGACACCTGAGAACTTTGCAATTCCATAATTGTGAAACTACCACAATAGTGTCTAATTATCAACATTTATCAGTTTATCAAAGCTTCTGGTTTTTTGATTTTTGGGTTTTTGTTTTTTGTTTTTGTTTTTGGCTTAAAATAGTCACTTCCTGGATCTTTTCATGTTTTCTTCCTTTTCATCAGCAGCACTGGCAGCTGGTGTTCTTTGGGGAGGTTCTCTTTCCTGCCCAAAATAAGTTATCATTTGCCAAGAGTGACTGTATACACAACAGAAAGAAGCAAACAGTGAAGTTGCTTTGAGGTGCTGATGCTGTGTTGTTAGCTAGACAGCTTTACCAGCCAGGATGCTCCTGTTGCACAGAGCAGCCTTGAAAACACACCTTATATTCTTTTTTTGTAAAGCTGCTGGCACCAGTGGAGTGTTTCTGACTTCTCGCTCCATTGCTCTGGGTGACCCAGTGCTCCCGGATAAGACTGTAGAGAGAAGACCTGGAGCATGAGTCTTCTACATATACTGCACTCGCAGACTGTCAGCTTACAAAAAGCCCCGAGTGAATTGGCTTTTGTTCTTTCTCAGTCCCGGATTCCAGCCTCTTTTCAGGAATGCTGCCAGTAATGATATTCAGCAGATGATAAGAATATGCAGCTCTCTGAATTCTTTAACCAAAGTCAGTGGGAGAAATAACAAGGTTGCACAAAGCTTTAATATTTAGGTTCAATGTAACCATTTTTATACCTCATTCTTCGTGGTACAAAACCCGGCCTGAACTCACTAGGTTGTTTTCTGCCTCTAATTGCTATTTACTTTGTTTGCACGTGTTGGTTTGTAGTATAGGACTCAATATGATCACCATAAGGAGGAATCTTAACCAGAGATGTTGTGTGCTCAGCTCAGCCCCTCCCTTTGGGGTCAAGAACATAGACCTTCTACACTTCCCTCCTGCTTGTTTTACCTGTTTTCATATGAGAGCTCAGCAGCACGCCCTTCTTCCTGAGTTCCTGGACTTCACTCATTTTATTTTTATTTCTACCACCTAACCCTGATGATTTGCCTCCTTCAATACAGTACGTTCTCCTTCTGGTCCCAACGGCCCACTCAACAAGCGACCTGAGTGCCCCTCCAGCCTCATGTTTCTATCCTGTACCCCATGTGGTCTCAGCTATACAGCTACTTGTTCCTCTCGATTCCCATTGTCATTCACATTCAATAAAAAGTCTTCCCTGGTTACTACTCACCTGCAGTCCCAGACTCCCCTCCTGTGCCCACACACAGCATCCTTCTTAGGTTAGAATTAGCTATGGACACATTTGACTCCTGGAAGACCACATCCATCTGGTCTTGGCTTTCCTATCCTTATTTTGGTGCTCAGATACATTGACCAAGGATCCTTGCTTTGCATTTCATGACCCTGAAAGTCTTCTGCCTAAGATAGCATTTCTAATGTGGTGTGATTCTCCTTCAGACTGTACTCTGACCTTGGTAAGGAATGGCCCTGAATCAACAGCCTGCCTTTCCTACCCCTTCCCTCTTCTCTGCTGTATAAAGTTCATCCTAATAAGCCCTAGAAGTCCTTACAAAGCAGGAGATTTGGCAGCCAGTATATGTTTTGGAACCTGCCAAGCCAGAAGGGTTTAAGGTGGCTCTTAACGATTTTGCAAATGCCATTTATACCAGAGATACAGCAGCATCTATCTGGCTTTCTTGGCTATAAAGAGAGTCTCAGCCAAGCTGAAGCTGATTACATTGGCCGTGCAACAAAGGTAATTTATTCATCACACACAAAACCTCCCGTTAACTAAAATCAGATTTCTAAGTGCTGATTGAAAGGAGAGCTGATATATCAGAGCACAATTACCCTCTGGGCCATAAAGGCTACTATTAAGGTACTTTTTAATTGTTTTCATTCCTAAACCTAATTATTGTTAGCTTTGCAGGTGGCTAATAATTAACTTATTCATAGAACATTAACCTATATTTTTTGCTTTCACTGCTCCCATTCTAATTCATATTTTGCATGTCTGGGGGTTTAATATCTGTTCAGAGTCTCCCCAGATTTCAGGATGGCTTTTATTAAAAACACCTTATAAAGCAGGGGCTCAGCTGAATTCCTTCCCTGTGAGGATGTTGATTTCTGGAAAGAACTAAGAACCCTGGAGAGTTCTTCACATTCTTTAACTTACAGGTGTATCTCCCCGGCTTAAAATGGCAGTTGTCTCTTCTCCAAGTTCCAGTGGTCACGCGTCACCATCTTGGTCTACCCCAAACCCAAGACTGGAAGACGTTCTGTCCTCCTGGTGTCAACTACTTTAAGTGAAAGCCAAGCCAAGAGGACTTTTCTTCCTGGCTTTCTTCATAGACCCCTATGGACTTTCCACCCTCGTGATTTTTTTTTTTTATTTTTTATGTTTTATTTATTTCTAGGAGAGAGAGAGACAGCGTGAGCAGGGGAGGGTCAGGGAGAGAGGGAGTCACAGACTGATACAGGCTCCAGGCTCCGAGCTGGCAGTCAGCACAGAGCCCGACGCGGGGCTCGAACCCAGGAACCGTGAGATCATGACCTAAGCGAAAGTCGGACGCTTAACCGACTAAGCCACCCAGGCGCCCCTCCACCCTCATGATTAAATCCCCTGACAGTTTTCTCTTCTGGCTCACCTGCAAAGTAAATGCTTCAGAGGGAGTCAATGTTGTGCCCTCCACGTCTGTGTCCATTGTGTGTGTGGTGATGGTGGTGGCGTGAGGAAGAGGCATGCATGTGCTTTGAAAGACTTGCTACAATTTTAAGTTTCCTTCACTTGCTCATAGCTAATTCCAGGACCAAAGATTGAGGGATTGTGAAGGGCTGAGAAGGGGTGGGTGTGTGTGTACAGATGGAACATAGCAGCATTTAAGTGTTGTCTTCCTGTTAGAAGTGCTAACTGATGGAAACAGACTACTGAGTGGGGTGCATTAACTCACTGTGTCTATTTTTCTCCTCTTCCCACCTTCTTTTCCCATCCCCTAATGCCACTGGCTTACTTTGGGGAAAGTAAGTGTGGGAGGGACCTCTCAAAGCATCCAGTTTGATCTGCATCGGTGAGGTGCTGGTTTTCCGGTAGCTCCAGGCTCAACACTTCTTACATCCCCTTCCAAGGAGAAAGCCCACAGTGGGACCTTCCAGGTGATGGGATGTGATATTCCTGTACACCAGACTCCTGCCCCCTGTAGCCTATGTACTCAGACCAATACTGCTTCAGGTCTTGGGTTCTTTTTCATCTCAGAATTTGAGGAGGTGAAAAAACCTAATTTCTTCAGGAAATCTTTAAAGGAAAAAAGTTTCTAGTAGGCTGTTAGATGAATCTTGTTTTGTGTGTGTGTGTGTATGTATGTGTGTGTACACTGAAGCAACCTTTAGGTTTCACATACTGACTGGATGTGACTGACCATTTATCAGGCCTGAAAAGAGTCCTAGTCCATATGGCTGAGGGGGTTGGGTGGGGGAGATCTGCCTCTCTCTGAATTTCTTTCTTGCTCTTCAATGTCATGTTTTCTAGGAATTTGTGTTCTCTCGGTCAGTGGTAGCTGACTCTCCTTTCTTTTCTCAGGGAGGAAGATGAGTACTCAGAACTGCGATCAGAACTTAGCCAGAGTCAGCACGAGGTCAATGAAGACTCTCGAAGCATGGACCAAGACCAGACTTCTGTCTCCATTCCTGAAAACCAGTCTACCATGGTCACTGCTGACATGGGTGAGTCTGCCTGTCATTGCACGAAGCCAGATTGTAATGGGAATTTTAGAAATATAAGGCAGCCTGAATTAAAATTTAATTAGTTAAGGAGTTTGGTGAGTAGATGAAATCACATCCATTTGAGAGTCCCTTACGTGCTCCTTTATTGGATCTCAAGAGCTGAATTAGCTTTCTGCCTTAATGCTTGTGATTCAAACATATGTCACCTCTATTTGAAAAATCTGGAAGTAGGGAATCAGCTGAAAAGGCTATTGTAGTGTTCCAAGTTGGAGTAAAATCTGAACTATGAAGGCAGGGATGGGAAGGATGGAATGGGTGGCAACACACTGTGATGGAAGAACCAATCATTTTTAGCGACCGTTGGGTAAGAAGGAATCTGAAATAACTCCAACATGTTGATCCAAAGTGACTAAGGGCATGATCATATTTCTTAGTAAGGAAGCTTGGTTGAGAAATGAGGTGGGAAATAGGTACATATGTTTGAAGTTGTAGAGAAATGCCCATCTGGGAATACCTGGTATAGTGTGTTATAAACTGCAGGTCATGACCTGATAGTGAATATTGAGATTGTATGAAAAATACTTTTAAAGTGAAATCAAACAGGAAAAAAAATAGAATAATACTGAATTATGAGACTTATTTGTTGAGTGTGTACCTATGTAGTAAGTTGCCAAATGAAGTGTTTCAACTGTGGGCTGCAGTCAACCCACAGAATGTTGCAAAACCACTGGGCTACTTGGAGATGCTTAACTGGATCTTTGGAGAGATTGGGGTTGAGGATAAAGCCTTTGAAGTTACGTAAGGTGATCTTTGTGGTCCAAAGTGTGTGGAGTCAGGAGGAAGAACACCATATCTGAGGAAATGGTCATATGTAGGGAAGAGCTAGAGGAAGAAGTAGGAGAGGTAAATATAGTGTAACTTTCTTAGAATCTAAAATGTCATTGGGGAGAGACTTTAATAGTACACATTTGTATTAATTATAAAAGTGCTGTAACATGAAGGAACATGATACCATGAGAGTTTATCAAAGGAATTTGATTCATCTTAAGATTCTAGAATAGCTTCCTCTAGGAAGTGACATTTGAGCTGAGAGCTGGAGGGTAAGTAGAAATTAACCAAGTAAGGAAAGAGATGAATTCGGGGGAAGGTGGGGGAAGTAGACGCATTCAAGGACATGAAAAAAGATCATCGTGTATGGAGGGCCCAGAGGTGTGAGATGGAGGCTGGAGTGATAGGTAGGGGTGATAGCATGCAAGATATTATCGGCCATGTGAGAAAGTTTGACCTATATTCAAGGACACACAAGAAACCACTGAAAGGTTTTAGTAGTGGAGGAGGGAGACAAGATGATCAGATTTGCATTTTGAATCAATCATTCTATAGTAAAGAGAATCAGTGGATCAGGAATGAACAGGGGAGGGGCCTGTGGGTGGCTCAGTGCATTAAGTGTCTGACTTCAGCTCAGATTATCTCACGAGCTGTCAGTGCAGAGCCGGCTTTGGATCCTCTCCCCTTGCCCCGCCCCTTCCCTGCATGCACTTGCACTAGCGTGCATGCTTTCTCTTTCTCTCCCCCCACTCTCAAAAATAAACATTAAAAGAATAATAGTAAAAGAATGAATGGAGGAGGCCAGCTAGGAAACCATTGCTAACATCCCACTGGGCACAATTATCGCTAGGATCAGGGTGGTGGTAGTTGAGATCTAGAGAGGTATAAAATTGGCAAGATCTGCTGAAGGATTAGAAACAGAGGGTGAAAGGAGAAAGTATGTGTGTGGAGATGTTCCCTTAGTGTCTGGATTGTACAGTGGATGGATGATGCTGCAAATCGCCAACATGGGAGGACAGGAAAGAGAGCCAGGTGGCTTTGCTTTGAGTTTTGTTTGGTTTTGTTTCACTCGAGGGGATGGGAGTTCAGGGTGCAGGTCAGAGGTTCTGTTCAGGCATAAGTCCGAGGTGTCCCGGGGTCTGTGGGCGGAGTTGCTTCCGAAGGCAGCAGGTATACATAAGCCAAGAGGAGAGGTCTAGGCTGAAGGAAAGCAGTTAGGAGACACTGGGTTATTGCAGATGGTTGCTGAAGCTGCAGGAGGCTATGCGTAGAACGAGGAGTTCAGAGAATGGGGGCCTAAGCTTTGAGGACCGCCAGCTGAAGAGGAGACTTTAAAGAGCTCTTGGCAGGGACACAGTCTCAGTTTAAATGCATCTCCTCTGAAAGCATCTCCTGAGCACCAGGCTGTGCAAGTTCCTGTGTTGACCCTGTTGCTGCCCCCATTTGTCATCTTCTATCAAATTGAAATTTAAAAAAAAAAGTTATTTTTGAGAGAGAGAGAGAGAGAGAGAGAGAGCGAACAGAGGAGGGGCCAAGAGAGAGGGAGACACAGAATCTAAAGCAGGCCCCAGGCTCTGAGCTGGCAGCACAGAGCCCAATGCAGACCTCGAACTCACAAACTGCAAGATCATGATCTGAGCCAAAGTTGGACCCTCAACTGACCAAGCCACACAGGCACCCCTCGAATTGAAGTTTTAAATGATATATTTCTAGTTCTTTTCTTGACTGACTCACTAAACTCCACTGGGCAGAAGTGTATTTATTTTATCTTCTAATAGATTTCCAGAGCCCGCCACCAGGCTTAGAACATAGTGTGTGTTCAGAGAAACTTGCTGGAATGAACAAGTAAAGCAGTCAGTGAGTCCATCAAGCAGTCGGCCAGCCAAAGGTGGGAGGAAATGAGGAGAGCCATATTTAGGAAGCCAGTGAGGCAGAGAATACTCAAAGAAGATGGAAGGGTAAACAGGAGGGATTGCTCCTAAGGCCAGCAGTCATTGAGCCTGTAAACTGAAACCGATGTGATCTCAACAGAAAAGGCATGAGGAGCGGGGAAACCTCCCAGATCTCAAGCTCTTGGCTTCAGGCTGAAACTGCCTCTCTGAAACTTGCCTGAACCCATACCCCAGGCCTTAAGTTAGAATACACACAATCTCCTGGGACCATCCCAGCTGTGGGTTCAAGCCCCACGTGCTGCTCTTTCAGCGTCAGGATCTCAAACCCTCCTGACCCCAGGCTTCTGGACTCTGACTTCCAGCCTTGGGAGTGGGACAGGTGCTGATGGCCAAGACGTTCCCATCCAAGCAAAGAGATGTGCCTACGCTGATCTCTCCATTCATGTCTCTAAAAGCGCGTTTTATGAAACTAAGTTGTGCCCCGTACTCCAACAATGTTTCATAAGTAGGGTGGGGAAGTGGAGGGGTAACCCTACCTGAGTAGACCGGGCGTCTTTCAGGTGTGACCTCCGGGGCTCCTGACAGAGCACTCGGTAGCTCAGGTTGTCTGCCCAGGAGCCCGGGTCTGCCTGCCTGTGCTATGAGCTGGCTTCGTTTTCCCAGATCATTAATCTCAGATCCGATCTTTCCATCCTTTTCCTCGCTATAAATATACGTTCATCAGAGCCAGTGATAGTACCTTTGCTGACGAGACTGAGCTCCTGTTTGGAAAGGACCCTGTTTCCGCAATGCCTGTATGTGTTCTCTGCCCACACAGGCGGCCCTTACTCACTTGTTTAGCCACTCACTGGGTGCTGTGCGAGGGGGATGTAAGTCACAGGCCCTCCGACTGCGAGACTCTCACACTTCGTTCTCTCACACCCAGAGGGACATCCCAACTCCTGACATCAACACTAGGCCCCCACAAGCTAAGCGTCTCCCACTTCAGGCGGCCACCTCCCCACCCATCCCTGGTCTTCCCCAGCCGTGGCCACACTGGCGTCCTTGCTGTCCGTCACACCTGACCAGCTCGTCTTGTCTCCCTGCTCCTTCTGCCTGGAGTGCTCCTTCCCTGAGCCAACCCTGAGCTCCCTGGCTGTGGCTGCCAGCCAGCCAGCCCTGGTCAGAGGGCCCTAGTGGAGCACTGTGACCTTTCCTCACCCTCACTGCCAGGTGCTGTCCTCCTTTGCCAGCTTCATTTCTCCTCACAGCACTTAGTGCTTCCTGATGACACATTGTATGTGCATTTATTTCATTGAGCGTTACCAGTGGTTACCGGTCCCTCACGCCAGAATCTAGAATGCAGGCACCACGAGGGCAGGGGCTCCCGCTGTCCTGTGTGCCAGTGTAACAGTGCCCACACAGAGGAGGCCCCCAGTATTGAGCAGCAGGCAATGCCATCTTGGAGCTTCTCTGGAGGATGCAGACACAGAAACAGGGAATGACCAGCAGTGGAGCAAGGGCCACAGCGGGAGGTGGACAGGGGCTCCGGCAACACCCTCGGGCAGGAGCGTTGGTAAATACATCCCAGAGGTCACATCCAGCAGAACTCGGGGGACAGGCAGGAGCGATGCAGATAAAGAGTAGGGGGCACGGGGAGAGCCCAGGAGGCCCCGGGCCGGCACCTGCTGGGTCCCCAAGGAGGGCAGGGACATCGAGGAGGAGGAGCACATTAGGGTTTCTGCAGAGTGCCGCCCCTGTGTGCGTCCATCGGAACTGGAAGCCTGCCTCTTCGTATTCCTTTGCCATTTTCCAATTAAATGGCTTCAATAGGGAAAAAAGCTTCCATATATAAACACCATTATAGGAAATCATTAAAAAGCAGCCGTTTCATTATGGTTGCTATATTTGCAAACCTGCATTAGCAACCCAGAGGTTTTCTTAAGCCGGATTTTGTATGCAGGGTTTGCTGCAGTATATTCACCGATCTTCATTTAAGATAGCACGAGTTAGTCCAATCTTCTCCCTTCATCAGAAAGCACTTTTCTTGTTTTCAGACCCCACCCATCAGAGCCAGGCTGCCCAGTCAGCGAGCAGCTGCTGGGCAGGGTCCGCCCGGAGGAGTAAACCAGCAATTTAGAAAGTGCTCCGACTATCTAACCAGTCCTGTGAAGAAGGAGACAGGCCCCAGCAGTGTCTCATGGCATCTTAAAATAAACTGCTTTACCTCTGTTCAGACCTGGTCACACAGCTGTTTGGAAAATAAAGGTAATAGACAAAGACAAGGCAGGAATTACGGCT